TATAAAGCGTTTTAAAGCGATAAACCAGAGAACACTTCGGTAATACCCTTGGGTAACCTTAAAATCACGTGACTGAAACCCTAAAAAGTTAACCGGTTATTGTAAAGCATTAACGTTTAATCGTTTTTTTAATAATTAAAGAAATTTTGAGGTTTAATTTCTAGGTTAATTTTTATTGACTCTAACATTGACTTATTATTAGTGAATTTTCCTTCGGGTTTTCCTTTTAAAAAATAACTTAGAAATTAAATGTCAAAATTTCATATCATATTCCTTAAAAACGATTTACCGTTAATGCGTTACAATAACCGGTTATCTTTTTTAGGGCTTTACGCCCGTATGCACCGTACACGTTTAATCCAGATTAAGGGTTTAATCGCGTTTAGTACCATTTTTAGCGATGCACCGTAATAAAAATTATTCTTAATCCGATTTTATTCTAATCCGTCGACATCGGTGGATCAAACTATCTAATCGAGATTTTCTTACGTCAAAAAGATGTCAATGTTTTGTCAGTATATTTGGAACTTTCTATTTGTGTTTCTTTTATTTGAATTTTAATAAAAATCGGAAATAGAATACCAGCTTTTCATGGAAGATGATAAAAATTCTTGACAAAATCACTAGAGAAGTAAATATTTTTATACGATGGGCAACTTTGTCATTTTTAAGAGGTTTTTTATATTCTAACGTTACAGCATAATTCTGTAGATGGCAAATCCAGATACGTTGAAAAATATAAAAAAAAGTAAGCAATAGGTACATATATTTATCTGATTTTGTCCACTTTTAAATACTGATAATATGTCATATCTAGTTTTGAACATGCACAGTATAGGGAATAAAGTATTCACATAGGTATATCGTTTTGCATAAAAAGCTTGAAATACAGCAGCTTGTATGTGTATATGTTAAAATTACCAATAATTAACATAATGGTAATCGCCATCTTACTATAGAATTATTTTTATAAAATCATTGGGCATTTTTTTTACCCTGCGTAGAATTCGGTATGCGTTTTACAGTGTGTTTACGGTTTTAGTACATTTAAAAAAATAGGGCTTCTATTTTCATCGGCCTCTTATCCTCTGACAAACATTTTTCCTACTCGAATCTGACGTTTTCTTCTTCTCTTTTTTGTGAAATTTATAAAATTCCAGTGTTGTCAGATTACTAAACTCGATTATCTAATCCGTAGCCGGTGCATAGAAAATATTCACTAGCCATTTAAACGAGATTTGCAAATCTGGATTAGATTTTAAAACGGTGCATATGGGCGTTAGTCACGTGATTTTAAGGTTAACCAAGGGTATAACCAAAGTGTTTTCTGGTACATCGCTTTAAAACGGATTAACATACATTAACATACATTAACATACATTAAGTATGTGACCTGTTATAATTAATAACCTTTTAAAGGGCTTCAATATGACGTCATAGAAAGTTACCAAGAATAACCGACATCGCTTCAATTAAAACGGTAAATGCCGCAAATTATCGGCTGATCGCTTTAAAACGGTTATAATTAAACTTAAAAAAGTTCTTCAGAAGAGGATAAAATATTAATTCATATGGTAAAGAAGCATCTCGCACTTTATCAAGTGAAAAACAGAAGTTGCAAAGATGGTTGGTTAACAGGATTTAGAAATATAACTGGGAAATGGCACCGTTTGATAATTAGTCATATTGGTTCAAACTATGCTTTTGTTGAGTATTCACTTCAAAGAGCCGGGGCCATTATCATGAAGAAAGGTGTTGATTAGTTAAAGTCAATACTAAAAAAATCTCAAGGATCAGTAATAGTTATAGATAATGCCAGATACCATCTTTAAGAACAATTTACTGAAGAAAGGGTGATCATTGAATGGATACCAAATAAAGCTAAGTATACACGTTAATCACAGCCACCTAATAGCGTAATTGTATGAAATTACTAAATATAAACCAAAATGTAATAAATATGTAATGGACGAACGCATAGAATGTAACAAAAGTTTATCGTGTTTTATTACTATCACATTCCAACGCTCTATATACCTACTTATTCAAAACCACCTGGATGACCTCTCTTCAGGATTAATGTAAGTTATTCGTTTTCCAATGAAACACCCTGTATACATACATATTGAAAATAAAATTGAATCTATGCATATGTTGTGCAGAAATAAATTACAGTTTTTATTTTTGATGGCGAAAAGATGACGGTATTTAACACTTCAAGGATTAAAGGAACATCAATAACCTTGTAAATAAATATGTTTACATCAATCTTTTTACATAACATACCAAAAAACATGTCTATTTAATAAAAAATATTAATGATCGATGATAATACAAATTCGACAAATTGTCTTCGATATACTCTTAAGTATCCTACTGATAAAAGTAATTGTATAAATTAAATAGGTAATTTACAATTAACAACAATAACAGCAGTCTTCGAGTAGAAATAACATATTGATTGCAAGTAGGTTAGTTTCTTAAATGTTTAACATTTTAAACCCTAATTTTATACGAAAGAGAGTTGCTTTCAAATGATTGAGTACTGTTAACATGCATTTGACTAGGCTGTCGATAATTGTTTGTTCTGGTAACAAATTTTTTTCTTGGATTGGGAAAAACTTATAATGACGAAACACGTGACCATTTTCAAATTGCTCAATAAAAAATGTTTGGGTTATTTTGACAAAATTGAAAATATGGATTAAAGTATAATTTTGATTGAATATTAATAAATTGTTCTAAGAGTATTTGCCGAATATGTATCTTGATGAATCGCTTTCGTAATTTATCGTAAAGAGAAATTTTGCTAGCAGATTTAATAAAAAAATAACTTTGTTCCGTATACATTAATCAAAAGCTCAAAGTTAGAGAATGTATTAAAAAAATAATATCAGTTGTTTATTTGTAAGGACTACTATAGTTGTAAAAAACAAGAGTATTTTAAAAAACTGAAACTTGGTTAGTTGTGGAACACTGTTGTTAACATTTAAAAAAACCAGTCTCAAATTTTACAACTAAATAAAGTTTGTGATTAATGCATATTTAGTGCCCATGGTTTAGTGTTAACCACTTTGAATTTGGTACACATAAAAAAATAAATAAAAACCTAAACAATACCAGTTTCGTTTTTTACTTAGAAACATAACGAAGTTATTCATCACTGCTAATGACACAAAGTAGAGAAGAAAAAGCCTTAAACCGAAAAAGAGAATAACAAGAAATTTCTTAAAAAATGTTTCAGATGTTTAAAAAGTCATAACTTAATAGATTGTCAAGCTTGGGATAAAACTTGCTTAAAATGTTAGGAGAAGAACCACTTCTCAATGGCATGCAAATCAAGAGAAATATATAATTTACAAAAACAAGAAGATGAAATTAACAATAATAGCAGCAGTAAAGAAAGACCATTTAGGGATTTCAAAAATAAGCTAGCAGTACAATATGACCTCCTTTACAAAAATAAAAATAACAGGTTTATTGTACCTCTTCAGTTGAGACAATTTTTTATTAATTCAATTCAGCATTTACTCGTGTATTACAAAGCTCCTAAAGCTTATTATTGGCCAGCAGTAACTTTCTCATTTTTCAATACGGCACATGTTGTGACGCCTATCTTCGTTCGACATAATGCGATTCTCATGTAAAATCTCTCTCTATTCGATACGTAACATAAAAATCCCTATCCTGGAATGTATTTAGACATATTAAAGAACATAGAAAAGTATCCCACATGTATAAAATATACCAGATCAAAATAACCCGTCAAAATTAATACCTCACAAAGTAGAAATACTTCCTTGATTTTAAATGACGGGGGATACTGCAACAAAGATTATTTGGTTACTGTTATCATTCTGAGTTCATAACGGCGATTAAACTAAAATCAAAAACTGCTTCTTCTGTAATATCTGTTTTAAAAAATATTATTATGGACCATGGAATTTCACAAATTTTTATGACTGACAATGAGAATAAGAATTAAAAAGATTCCTTAACACGATTTAAGATCAAACAGCTAACTCTCAGCCCATTGTATCCTCAGTGCAATGGACAAGTAGAGACAGTAGAAAGGACTGTTCAAACTGTAAAGGGTATGCTGTGTAAATGTAAAAAATACTGCGATTGAACTATTTAAAATGGTTTTGGAACATAACACAACTCCTAAACAAGGAAAATTCCACCATCAGAAAATTTCAGGGGTAGGCAGTTAAATACTAATCTGCTAATACTCGAAGAAACTTTAATAATACCCAAATTTGAGACTGAACCGAATTTAGAACGCTTACATAAGAAACAAGATAATATGATTTAAAGTTCAAAGAAACAAAACAAAGTGGCATTTAAGCTGAATCCTGATCAAAAAATAGTGATTCAACAGGCACGCGTCAATGGACTCCAAGCAAGGTAATCTCAACAGCCACTGAACCAGATTCTTACCATGTCGAAATCGATTCTGGAGCTGTTTTTTGAAAAAACAAAGTTCACTTGAAACCAGATCCTAACTTACTGTAGAATGAGATACAGGAGAAAATAACGATGTCAAATCTAACTTCAAAGACACAATCAGAAGCCAATTTGAGACCATCCAGTGTAACAAAGGTACCAAACTACCTGAAGTTATACGTTAAGTTACAAATTGTGTTCACAAAATGTTAACAAAACTTGTACGCAAAAGAGGGGCATGTTACATAGTCGGACATTTGAATTTACCGCTTAAATATCATTTGTCATTTACACAGTTCCGACGGTATGTCAACTTCACTTCTATACTAAAGGCACATGTTTGTTTATTAATAAACCACTAGTAGAGTAAAGCAATACTTATTGCAAAAACCTAAATTCTTAGTTGTGCTAACAAAACTTTGAAACAAAAACTTATTTAAAATTTTTATTGCTCTTTACGAGTTCTGTTACTTATTAAAATTAATGTTTTTATTTCTGCGACATACACCGAATTTGTGACAAAAATTCCATTAATTCATGAGTAAAAGAAAATACACCTGTATACACAATAAATAAAAGAAAATTTTTAATTGGAACATAATTTTTACGGTCATGCAAAATTTCTTAATACGGTATCTTATCCAGTATAAATAAATCTTTACTTTTAGAATGTATCACATTACAGCAAAACCTTACTGTTATCTTGAATCCTGGTCGACAATAAAGCTGCAAAAATAGCTAATGATATGGTCAAAATTGCAGGGAAAAGCAGCATTGTATGAACTAACATACTATATATCGGGATGGCACAAAGGGACGCTATGTGGAATAAGCTACGCATAATTCCATGCGCAGTACACCTGAAAAAAAAAATATAGTAAGACAATGGTAGACAAAATCAATTTTACATAATAGCTATTTATTCAACCAGTTTTTTTATTTATTAGGGGAAAGTGGGCTAATACCGCGCAGCGGGGTATTACCGCGCACACAGAAACACAGGTGTTTGAGCAACCCAGAATAAATTTGACTACTCGTATGTTACCTGGCACATGTGGCAACTATGCCACAAATGTTGTGCAGTCGATCGAAGCATCCAGTACTTCGCAGTATATCAAAGCGTGAGTGTCGTTGCTTTTATTATAATTTAGAGCTACCAGGAGATAAGCGAGGTAAGTTTAAATATTAGGTAAATATAAAATCGGCTAATATAGATATTTTATTGGTTCTTTTACTGATTTTTACCTGCTACCGTTTTTAATTTTCTTCAGTAAACAACCGAGGTGAGATTAGAAAATAGAACTAGTGTCGATATGGGGCAACACCGCGCGTGGTATTACCCCACATATGCGCAATATTACCCCACATTGATTTTAATGGTAAAAGCGGTATTGCATCACCTCTAAATTTGCTAAGTATTGTTCTGCGTTGATTTCATTGGTAAAATATTTCCACTTTTTATTTCAGATGGTAAGAAATTACAAAAGAAAAACTCAACGAAAAAGTTGGTCTTTTGAACAACTCTATAATGCAATAGCTGCTGTTCGCTTAGGTTCAAAAATACGTGAGGCGGCAAGAAATTTCGATATTCCAGAATCGACAGTTCGTGATCATTTAAAAAAAGAGGTACCGGCGTAGACGGTGAAGTTCCAGCTCAACTTGATGAGACGCATGGCTTGGGACGGACACCAGTTTTTTCGAAAAAACAAGAACAAGAGCTAGCAGATCACGTTATGAGGTTAGCGAATTTGTTTTATGGAGTAACTCCGCGGCACTTAAGGCGTATGGCTTTTGACTTTGCAGAAGCTAATAATCTAATCCATAAATTCAACAAAGAAACAAAATTAGCTAGCAAAGACTGGCTGAGTCTTTTTCTTAAAAGAAATCCTCAAATTAGTCTTCGTCAGCCAGAAGGAACAGGTCTTAATCGTATTTCATCGTTCAACGCCGATGCTGTTGGTCTTTTTTTCAAAAATCTTGAAACTTTGTTACAAAAGCATCAATTTACAGAAGACAGAATCTTCAATGCTGACGAGTCTGGAATAACAACTGTCCAGAAAAAGTCTGGAAAAATATACGCCAAAAAAGGACAAAAGCAAGTCAGAATTGCTATTTCAGCCGAACGAGGACAAACTATCACTATCTTATGTGCTGTCAGCGCAGCTGGTTCCTACGTCCCTCCAATGTTTATTTATCCAAGGAAACGTATGTCTCCACAACTAGAAAAGGATGGCCCAATTGGATCCATTTATTCGTGCTCTGACAATGGGAGGTCAAATAATGAGTTATTTCTAAAATGGTTAAAACATTTCAAAGCTATGTGAAATCTAATGCGACCGAGCCGATTTTACTTATTTTAGACAATCATGGAAGCCACATTTCGTTGGAAATTTATGAGTTCTGCAGAAATAGCCATATCGTACTTCTTACAATACCCCCTCATACGTCAAATCACCTTCAGCCTCTGGATTTAACATTCTTTGGACCTCTTAAAAAATCTCTCTTTGCTGTTTCTGATTCCCATATGATTTCAACTGCACACGAGAAGATTACAGTGTACGATGTGGCTCGTTTGTTTAATCAAGCATATATAAAAGTAGCAACTATGGATAAAGAAATTTCAGGATTCCGAGCTGCCGGAATATTTCCTTTCAATTCCTCTAAGTTTACAGCAGAAGACTTCGCACCAGCTGAGGAATTTAGAGAATTTATTGTGGATGTAGAAACAGATGAAGGGGAAAGGTCCTTCAAGATCATTTCTCCTCAGACACCAATAGAATCCTTAGCTATTGCGATACCGACACCATCAATATCCGCTATTCCAGAACCGACACCCTCAACAGCAGCAATTCGTGAACCTTTACCATTATGTTCGTTTGCCAAAATATCAGATGTTGCTCCTATTCCCATGAGAACAAATAAGAAATTCACAAAAAGAAGGACAGCAAAGAAGCAAAAGTCAAAAATTTTGACTTCTACACCAATGAAGCATATACTTGTTCAAAAGCAAGCAAAACGAGACCAGAAAAATGATACTCAAAACAAAACATGCAAGCAAAAAGTAAATTTACATGGAAAAGAAAACCAGAAGAGGATTAACATAAAAAGAAAGCGTGTTGAAAAGGAGGAGGGAATGTCAGAGGATAACTCTGATTCATCAGTGGAATTGGATCTGTCTGAAGACAGCAATTCAGATATGAATGAATATGCATTGTATGAAAGGCCTTCTGTGACAAACGAAGCATCATATGCGGCGAATTCGGAAAGAATAGAGAACTCTGGTACCGTTGTGGAAGATGGGCTCACTCCGAGTGTACAGGTTGAAAATCAGCTAAGGAATATACATGTGATGAATGTATAGAAGGCAACCCAAAAAAAGATAAAGCAAAACGATATTTATTTAAATAAATCCAAAAAAGCTTGTCAAAGTTCTTAGAAATGTTCTTATGTTGAGAATTTTGTTGTTAATTTCATTATATTATATTTTCTTTTAACATTTTTTTTTATCAGCCTACTCCGAACCCTCAAACAAAATTCACGGTATTGCCCCACTGGTTGCGTAATATTGCCCCCACTGGGTGGGGCAATGCCGGGAAATGCATTTGTTGCATAATTTGAAAATTTTCCAATTCTCCAGTATTTTACTCAATTAACATATATACCATCATATACTAGAGATCTTTGAGAAATATTTTACAAAATGCCAACGGCTTATTATAAAAAATGGAAAATTGGGAATTAATTTCCCTTAGGTGCGTGGTATTACCCCACTTTCCCCTATTGACTTTTTTATATGAATGTTTACATTTTCCTAGGACATTTGATTTTCCTATTTCTCTGCTATAGGAGTTATCCTACTTTTCCTTTTATAAGGGGTGAATATTTGCGGGACTAGCAGAGCGAGGTACTACTGACATCTAGGCAACCAATTTTACTTTCTTTTAATTTATTGATAAACAAATACATATTAATTTATTCTTAAAGCGCTTTCGACTGATCACACTCAGTTCACACCAATGAGGTTGAATACTATGGAGATGACATGCCAAAAAAAACGACACCCCTTCGCCCTCTCTTAGTGGTCATGTCATAGTTGTCAAAGAGCTGTCAGAACTTTGTTCAAATTTAAATATTTCGACGTTATTTCTATCTTAATAAGAGTTTTTTTTTTTTGATTAATTTGTATAAAAATCATGACTAAGTGTGCCAAAATTAATTGTAAAAACTCTTCAGTGAAAGAGCGTAAGAAAATATCTAATTTAAGTTTTCATAAGTAAGTATAAGGAGTGTACTTAGAATTTTTTTTAGAATACTTAACTTTTTTTTATTATAGGTTTCCAAAAGACCCACAGTATCTCAAAACTTGGTCTAAATTTGTGGGAAAAGACCAATTTGAGCCTAAACCGAATAGCATGTTGTGCTCTATTCACTTCAATAAAGATTTTTTTGATAAGAGTGAGTTTAGGGTCAGATTGAAGAAGAATGCTGTTCCGACAATAAATGAATGTTTAGTTAGTATACACTTTATTTACAATAAAACTTAAATAACTAACTTAATAAAGAACATTGGCTTGACAATGCTTTATTAGGATTAAAAACACCAGTTTCTAGAGACTTTTTCACTATAACACTAACATTACTGATCAGAAAAAGTGGTTAAAGTTTTCTTTTTGTAATCACAAATCGCAACTGAATGCCTATTTTTAAAATAAATTATCTCTATAATTCCATTTGTATAGTTGTATGCTGTGCATCTGTGAGATTGTTGTTTATTATACATGGGTAGCAATTATAGAAATCTTAAGTAAGTACGTGCTTGCAATTTTAGTAATATATGTACCTACCCTATATAATTAATTATTTCAAACATAAATAAAACCAACAACTATTATTATCTTTTTAGTTTCGATTGGTTTTGACAGAGTAGTTTTGATCATGGTTTTCTTCCATCTACTTTTAACCATAAAGTCATACCTAGCTGAATTTTTGGTCTTTTTAAACTTTTTACTGTAGCGCGTCATATTTTTAATGTATGTCATCTGCAGCAGAAGGACCTACATGTTTTACATTTAAAAGTAATTAATTTTTCTTTCTACAAACTCGGCTGTATTTTTACTGAAATATATTTTTTCACAATTCACGTAGTGGTTCGGTTTTTGGTTTGGTAATTTGATGTCATAATTCTCCTCATTGTCAGATTTTGACGACATTGGCAGCTTTGATCAAGACAAGAGAGTCCTTGAACGAAAAATCGTAGTTCGGGTTTTAGTTTTAAAGCACAAAGAGATTAACAAATCTGATGCACAGTGTTATTCGAACGTTGATTTTCGATCACACAGGTCATATATCGGACGGTTTCGGCGAAGACAGAACAATATAATAATATTAATCTCTTTTATGGTCTTGGCATTGGCTTGGTCGGAAAACGATTAATAAATAATAGTAAATAGTGTAGAAGTCATAATTGCGCAATGTCATCAAATTAATTTCGAATCGATCATGTTGAAACAAATCTTAGGTAAGTAAGTCATTTAAAAGTTGTAATTCTGCATACGGACTTTAATTATATTTGAATACGACCCTGCTTAGTCAACCATTTAAGCCACGCCCAGTGGGGACATTTTGAATAAAACGTATCATATGCAAAACAATTGCCTCATGGCATCTCCATTAGTATTATACCTCCATGGTTCACACTCGGAAGTGTGATTTTTCGTTGCTCAGCACTGGTTCAATTTAGTGACGTCATACAAACTTATTAATCAAACACGCAGTTAACCATTAGTATATTGTATTTGACAGCTCTCATCTGAGTGATAAGTAGAAGTATCTTCCAAATTCGAAACAAGATCCAAGCCAA